AAAAAATATTGAACCGTGACACCAAAGTATTGAACCGAACCGTGAATTTTGTGTATCATTGCACCCCTACTAGTAATCGTGACAGAATCAGGTTAAGTTAAAGAAATAAAAGACCCCACTTTCCAATGAATTGCAATAATAGAATTGAGATAAATGCAGGTAAAGTAAAGGCAATAATTCAGTTCAATTTCATTTATACAGTTCCAAATCACAACAACAGTCATCTCAGGGCACTTTATATTGTAAAATAGACCCTACAATAACAGTCCCAGAAATAATAATAAAGTAAAGGCAACAAAGGAAAAGACATCTCCTACTGTTTGTTTTTTTTTTCATATTTGAAGAAATAAAATATCATAAATCACTTGGGGGGAAAAAAGGACATTTGGACAAAAATGTAGTTGTGGCAGAGGTGTCGTCTCTGGCTCAGGGGAGCAGTAGGGCAGTGAGCTCAAGGGGGGAGTGCCAAGGAGGCTGGAGGGACAGGTGTCTGGGATTCCACTAGCGAGGTTTCTCCCTCTAGAGTGAAGCCTGAGACCTGAGACCATCTGAAAAGCTGAAGTGGGTGCCAAACCTGTCAAGAAAGTATTTTGTGTGATTTGCAATAAACACTACTCAAAGTAATACAGTGTGTCGGGTCAAACACTACAGTAGCAGACGATCTTGAAGAATGTGCTCCAATGAAGCCTAGCCATCAAAAACAAACTTTGCTTGATGTCCACATAACATTGAAAATGGCTGAAAAGTGAAATTTGGCTGAAAAAGAAAAGGACATTCTTCAGTCCACTAACTCCGTATCTAAGTAGGGCTATAGGGCAGCGACTGAGGGGGCACTGAAGTGTTTGAGTAGACAGAGGACCAGCCCATCACAGGTTTACCACAGAGTGCACTTATATCAGCACCTGCAGAGGACCACCACATTCATCTCCAAATTGTTCTTGCTGTGAGATGACAGTCATGGCACAACAACAATGTACTTTGGACAATTAAACCAAAAAACCCTTTATAATGTTTTTCTTCAGTGAAAAAAAGCAAAGCAATGGTGTTACTCTGCCTCATGCTCACCTGCTCATCCTGGCTGATTGCCCTGATCTCATTTAAGGCTTCGCTGGATCATTGTACTCTTCTCAGT